GCGGGCAAGGGGGTCAACGTCGCCCCATGCGCCGCCGAACAGCGTCACGAAAAGCACCGTCCGCAGGCGCAGCTGCCGAAGTTCGTCGCGGCCAAACAACTCGCGCCCGCCGAGGACGTCGTGCAACTCAGCCAGCGGCAGCGGGTGGCTCGGCGGACTGGGGCGCGACCGGCCGTGCGCCCACCCAGCGCCGCTCCCCGCGGCGGTGAGAAACATCTCCGCGTGGTCCAGCACCAACACCACCACCGCGCCGTCCGCCGCGTCCTCGTCGTCGTCGGCGGGCTGGCGATTGTCGGGGCAGGCAGCGGAGGCGCGGACGGCGCGACGAATGCCCCTCCGGAGCGCCGTGCTCCCGTTGGCGTGCCGCCGCGCGAGGGACAACGCGAGTTGTGGGGCGACGGCGAGCACACGGCGGCGTGCGGCACCGCGGGCCCGCTGAATCGCCCTGCGCACCACGTGGCTCTTCCCATTGCCCGAGGGCCCGCACAGCAGCAGCGACGCCGGCGCCGCGCCGCGCGGCCAGTGCAGCAGCACGCCGCACAGGAGCTCCTCTGCAAGCAAAAAAGGCGACGTGTGGGCCTGCCGCGGCTGCTCTGGGCTTGTGAGGGCAAAGCCCGGCGAAGCCTCACCGTGCCGCATGGCGTCGCCGCGCCACCACCCCCCTATACTAGCGAGGGAAAGCAAAGCAAAGAGGAGGAGGATGAAAATGCATGCACTACACCGAAACCGCAGACGCCAAACCCACCACGCTGCCTGCAACTCGGCACGACACACACGCGCACATATCGGCTAAACAACAACAACGAAACCCTTCAGACAAAATGTTGAGGATGCCTGCCGCATTCCCTCGCCGGCCCACACCCCGCACATCGGGCGCCTCCCCGCGTAAAAAAGAAAAAAGAAAAAAAAAAAAACACGCTGCGCCAAATGGACAAACAGCCAAGACCAACTTATCTGTTTTTAAAAAGAAGTGCGGCGCCTCAACACACATAACCGTCTCTGCTGCCTGTGCGCACCCAGTTAGCTCGCAAGGAAACAGTAAAACCGCCCGAGACTGAGCTCCGCGGTGTGAGGTGGCCGCCCTCAGAAGACGGACAACACGCATCCCCAGCGCGGTAGCACACATCCCCGCCGCCCGTCTCCTCCTCCGTCCCCCAAACCGGCGCAACGCTTCTTTCCCATTTCCCGTGTTTGTGCGACGTTGCGCCGCCGCCGCCCGATGGAGAGGGGCACAAAAAACGGGAAGTCCATTGGCGTGCCCGCAGCTGCGTGTGTGGTGTGTGTGGGGCCGGATGTTGCGGGCCCGCCCTCCAGTGCTGAATAAACTCCGCTGCGTCGGGGGGAAGCCAAAACCCACGGGGGTGGGCGGCACTACGGCACGCGTGACACCCCTGCAGCGCCGATCGGCCGTTCACATCACCAGCCAGTCGGGGGCCACCTGCGGCGCGGCGCAGGGCGCCGTTC